TCAATTGCCCTGTGCATGTTGATAAGTTGATTCATTTTCCGCGCACTAGTATTGACTTCGTGGCCAAATTTAGCAACGAAATAATTTAACGCGTTGTTGCACCGTCCTTTAGCGGCAAATAAAGACGACTACCTCTTCCCTTACTAACACAGAACATTGTAACAACGGCTACAAGCCGGCAGGGAAAAACATGACATAGCTACCGTAGTTTCTGGGAATAATTATGATACGGCAGGTTTGATGAATGACGTGTAGGTGATGATTGTCATGAGAGGCACAGTGAATATAGAGATATCCCGCAAAGAACGGTGTTGCAATATAGTACTGCAGTAGCTGGTGTTCTGGTTAGCTAGGGGATACCCGGACAAAATTCTGCTAGACAGTTTTTCATTGAACGAAAATCTCACCACTAAAATAGTAACATTAACATGATAAAATTCTACCAAATCAAGTTTAAAGTCTTAATATTCTATTACCTCAATCACATCGGGATTAGGTCAATAATTGTTGCCGGGGAAGGTCACACCAACAAACGCATCGAACTTCAGGACACGGAATAAACAGGGACACTTTCGCGCCACACATTGAAAATGACAATGCCTAGTACACGAAGCTTTGCGTTACCGTACAGTACACACCTACACTGTGACAAGCAACATGACGTACACACCTGCACTATGACATGCAATGCATTACAAACGATAATAGCTGCAATAGTTCTGTAGTGAAAAAAATATACGCAATGGGATGTTGGAATCGATAAATGTCAGAAAGTTCGGCCGACTCATTGTAAAACGTTGTTCAAGAGATGCATCATCGATTAATCTGAAGTAGGTCAACCAACAGCTGATCTAGAGCAGCGAGACAATAAGGTCACAGCCTAAGTCTGCTATACTGTACTTGGACCGGCTTGGACTTACAGTAGCAACACACTGATATGGAAGGCTAAAGCACACCAGTTAATTTTGAGAACCCAACTAATCTAACTTGTGGTCGCCCTGATTTGAGCTGATTAACGTTAATTGAATCGATATTTACGTAACTTAACTTTCTACATGATATTTATTATATTAACTGATCGATAGACTATAACTAACTAGTTGTTATATTTAGTTAACAGTAATAACATAGCTACCTAGGCGCATCACTGGAAAATCAATGTAGCCTAGCCTAGCCAAGCAACATGTCCACACAGGTTTCTCCCAGCGCTGCCCTGAGTCGTACACCAACTGTTATTACACTTTCTCTCTCCTGAAAACTAACATTGTAAAAATAGTCATTTAGAATCAAATGATGTATGTTACCATCCTGCCATTTTCCATTAGAATTGTGACATGTGGGGAAGTGTGTTTACTACTATCTGTAAACCTGCACTGTCTAACGTGATTATCGCCTGCCACGTAAATAGTATCATCAACCAGCTAACTAAACAGTTTATATAATTCATGTTTGAAGCAAGAAAATATAACGGCATATTTCACGGTAGTTATGTGATGGTACATTTCTCTGTTATAACGTGGACAAATTATTTCACGGAGGTGGTATAGCATTGGACAAGCAAAGGTAGTAGGTAGTTGGCAGGTAGTATGCAGCTAGTTGGTAGTAGGTAGTAGGCAGCTACCAAACAGGGAGGTACTACCGCCTGGGAAGATATTGGAAGCCTAATGTGTTGTCTAATGGTAGACCCTGCTGCCATATGGCATCACGAAAATTGTAGGGTCTCAATTGTTTCTATTACATGACAAAACAACATACACATATAGCGTTTCTCACTGTTGATTTTTTTTCATTCTTGCATTTCTTTGTATGTATTATTATCACAGTGTTGTTGTTATTATTATTATTATTACCATTAATATTTTGTTTTACTTTTTATTATAAATTTTATTTACTATGAATTATTATTATTATTAAATTTTCGCCCCCCAGGCCCTGATGTGGGTCAGTGACCTGTGCCCGGGTGGGCTAATCCCAGGTAACAAAAAAAATGCAACATACATAATGTATATCGTTTCTCACTCTTGGTTTATTTTTTTTCATTTTTGTATTTACTTATTATTATTATTATTATTATTATTATTATTATTATTATTATTACTATATTTTTATTTTTTATTATTTTGTATTAATTATCATTATATCCCCCCCCCCCTCAGGCCCTGATGTGGGTAAGTGGCCTAGACACGTGACATTTCAAGTTAGAAGCATAAATCATGGAGGCTTCACTATGTGCATACGCCAGGACAAGTTCTACGTGAGATTCTGTTATCTTGTGGTTTACATGACTTGCCGGCTTACGATAATACTCCGTTGCATGACTTGCGTGGCTTGAAAGGTGATAATATTAGTTCTTGATTTATTAGACTTCAACTTAATTAGTTATTATAGGCTATGAGAGAACTTTTGCATGACTTATCACTACGATGAGGCTGATGATATGCTTTACTAGGCTACTTTACACCTACAGTAGTACATGGCTTATTAACTTATGGTTTGCAGGTTTAATTATATAGTGACCATAAATTATCTGGCCACTTTTAAAACTTAAGAACCTCCTTAATAATCTTAGATAAAACACATTGTTTTATTACTGACAACACCTCATAAGAACATATCATTTGTTGATTAAGTTAAACGTTAGTTTTGGTTAGGTTAGGTTAGGTGCACAATTTTTTTTCCCAAATATTCAGAAGAAAAAATTATTTCCAAATCCCATACAGCATACTATAATAAACATGACACCGTAACCGTTCTTTTATTGGTGTTGTTAATGTACTACTACCCTTCAACAACTATTGTCTTGAAACATGTATTTGAGGTTAGTAATTGCACTAGTCACCAACAACTGAAAATTAGTAAAGTTTTCATTATTTTGTCGATACACCTTTTCTCGTACTGGTGGAGGCGAGTGTAACAAGCAGCATACAGGAAAAAAATATCAAGTTTCCACTGTCTTAATAATAGTGCTTGTAATTCTTTACAGCAGTTGGTTCACCTCTCTCACTGACTTCACATATACTAAAGCAAACAGCAAGTAACCAATAGTAAACGAACATGTAATCAGTTTAGTCCTGTTGTACACCATAAAACGTCTGCAGACACAAACTTAAAGTATTACCTTATTTCACTAACACTGAAAACTGAACATTACATAAGGCGAAAATTCTTGGTGGGAATGATTTTGTCGGGCCTAAAGTGGTCTTCATAGTGTGATGTGATTAATGGCACGAAATCGTCTTGTGTACGCGTGACTAACACTACTTTTTTCGCCATCTTATGTTTATACTTCTCAGCTGATTGAGGGATGAGACGGTCTTGTTATATGGTTGTAAATATTTTTGTTGGCCCACAAGGATCGATCATGACAGGCATCAAGAAATTCTCGGTAGTTGAGATGACAAAAATGTACCTTTGGGAAGTACCTAAACATAGCCTGTAGAATGGTTGTATCTGAGACAAACTGTGGACGGCAAACAACCGAACTCCCAAGTTTCTATACTGCAAAATCTTGGTTTTTAAAGCATCAACTACCCAAATACACAGGAAATTATGTTCTCTTACCTTTCTTCGTTTTCTGGTCAGCTTAAAATTAATACACTTGAATCTATGATGACGGAAATTCAATAATCCATTGGAGCACAAATCAAAAGTTACTTACTGTCCATGTTTTCACCGTGTGACGTCAGGGGCGCTGTGTCACTTCTACCTCGAAAATCTTCCAATGGAACTAACTCTTGTCTTACAGTAAACCCTTTGGTAAGACTAACAAAATAAGCTTACGAGTAAATGGATGCGATAGCAATTCAAAAGAGACCTTACTGAGGTGGGCTTAATACATAATGTAATTTAATAAGTGTTATATTTAAGGTTGGCTCCCGACCTGGGGAAATCTAGGAGACTTTAAAACGGGTATTTGACTGCATGTTTGTTTACAAATTAACAATCATAAGTTTATTGTGTATTTTCTGTCGCAAGGCTAAACCAATTGTTTCCGTAATGCGAGTTAGCCTCATACAAGCCAAGGGTTTCCCATAATTGAACAAGAGCAATGATCTGCTCAGTCTTTTAACAGATTAATGCCCGGATTTATGATGATAACCGAAATGAAACATCCCACTTATCTCTCATCTCTGTTATGGGCGACTTGGGAATACTAGGTTAGTCGAACTTGTGTGCAATTACTGTTTAGTGCATTCATCTTTACGATATCCTAAAAAAATAATAACAATGCTCATCTGTATTTTTAAATACTGCAATCTAATTCAAGCTCAAGCTCTCCCAGTTGATGCACACAAAAGGGTATAATTCTACATCCCGCCAAAAGCCTGGAGAAGCATTTAGATTCAGAATATAATCTCTGACCCTTGCTCCTCGGGGGCGAGGTACATCATATTTCTAACAGGCTGTATATTGTATCGCATAACATTTTCTGTCTTGGTGCTTTTCGCTATTTAAAGGCGACGGAAATTTTCGTATTTACAGTCAGCGAACAACAGTTAAATCAGACTGACAACGGTTGAAGTTTCTGTGCAACCGGATGGTTTCCTTATCAAATACAATCCTCTATATACGTCATTGTTCGTCCTTTTTTTTCTTGTAAACTAGAATGTAACTAATTACTTCCATGGATAATAGTACATCCTGTCTTTGTTAAACATATGCGTCATATCCTCTCCTAGCACGTGCTTACGGGGCTCTCTTTACATTTTGTACCCACTTTCCTGTAACTTAAGATCCTGTTTATTAATAACGAGTAACAACTTAGCTTAAGAATATTCCTCTGTTTTCTTAAGTTTCACGATATTACGAACTGTCACTTAAAATATATAACTCAGATGATGAGGTATAGATTGTCGATGTACTCGGAAGACACAAACTGATACGTAAAAAAAAAAAGTTTAATAGATAGAACCTGATGGTAGAAATGGCTGATGCAGGATGGCTGGAGGGTGGTGGGGGTTGGGGGGTGTGAGGTAGATCGGCAAGGTAGCAGGGTGGAGGCGGCAAGTTCGGCAACACAGTGCTGGATTTTGTGCTGGTGTGTGTGGACCGTTCGCTCCAGCTCCCACTTGGTAGGTTACCATCCACGTTCTTTACCAATATCCGTTCGTTGTTATAAAGTGTCCTCTAGAGTCTATGCAATCACTTGTGTGTGAATGACTACTTAATAGACTTCCCCACAGCATTAATAAAAAAGTTAGGTGATATTTGACAACAAAAGTGAATAACAATGGAAACGCACGTCGAAGGATAATTTACAGGCATACACATCAGATACATGGTGAAGTATTTCTTGTGTTTGTTGTTCGTCCTCTATGGTAAATACAGATGACCACAAGTTGAACAATGCAACAGTCATCTACTGACATGGTTACATTAACCCAGGGCATCTGCAAAAAAAAAAAAATAATAATAATAAAGAAGGCAGCATATATCACCATAATATATTAAGTTTCATTTATTGATCTATGCAGTTACTGTGAAAATAAACATAAAGTATCACCATTCATTTGAGAGGGAGTTGTGTTGCGCTGGTCAGAGAAAACGGTGTTTCCGGATCCTTTGCTAAGGGTGTGTTGCGGCAAAATGCAAGTGAAAGTGCGTCAATACCGAGCAAGCAAGTGTGGTACGGTATTCTCCCGCCTCCTTGCACTTGATATAGAAGTTAGATTTGTTTGTCACCGGAGCAACATAGGGTACTTACCACCTGGCCACAGCCTTGAAACAAGTTCACAGTAACATGACTTATTGTAATGGGATATAAAATTAAGTTGATAGTGACGTCACTTTTTTCATTGTAAGATTAGTATCGCTTCTTGTTTACATACTACAGTCCATGTCTCGTAGATGAGCTTTGGTCAATATATTTAATAGTTAATGGTGGGTATGTTAATAGTCTAATGTAAGAACGAGTTTTGTTAGCCAAGTTAAATCAGTTTGGTATTATTATCATTTTGGTCATTAGCGAATTTTAAGTTTGTATAAAATTATGTTTTTCCGATGGTTTTTGACGTGTTGGACGATTCTGACCTTATTTGCTGTCGTAAATTACTACTTTTTGTGATTTTCCTCCACCCAAATACTGTAGGTAGATGATCGAAACGTTAAGTTCCCTCCCTCTTATTTTATAATTCTTGCACGGGTAGTGGAAAGCTAGTCAGTCTAAAGAAAAATATTGTTTCCGCTTTGGCCTTCTTTTGGGAGTGCTGGCAAGACCTTGTGTTGGGCGACGTTTGATATAATGAGGGAAACTTCTCTCTCTGTTACAAGAGGTTGGGAAGTGATGATTTGAGCATAAACAGAATTAGTTGTGTGAGTGATGGTTGCGTGGGTGTGGTAGTGTTCAACAATGGGACGTCTACGTGTTGGGGACTAAAGCACGCACTCGGTCAATACTTGCAAGCACAAGCATCAATAGGATTATCCATTTGGAATTAGTATGTCGTCTGATAATTTTTTGAGTTATTAAATACTTAAGAAATATCAGTAGAATTAATAGGGTAGAAAGTGCAAGAGGCGATTCTTAAAAAAAAAAAAAAAAAAATCGGGGGAGGTCAACCAGTTAAAAAAAAAACTTTCTCCTCAGTACTTATAGATACGGATCATCATTTTGTTATCCACCTTGATATTTGTGTAGGGGTTTCAACGGTGTGGCAACTATTCCACTGGACGCTGGAGTGAAATTTAAGAGGGTTAAGTGACCTTGATCATCTTAGTGAGAATATGACCGAACACCAAATCCAAATAAAGTTTAAATTTTGATCTTTGTCCTCATAAAATCCTTAAAAGGTTCAGAACAAAAAATTAATGACATTTAGGCATATTGGAATACGGTACAAGTCAGCCAGATTCCAATTGGCTCAGAAATGACAATTGCGATAAACTGTAAATTAAACTGTTCCTGAGAAGAGAGAATAAATGAGAATAAATTAGACAAAAATATGACTCCCACCTTCAGAGGACAGTTCATTATAAAAACGAAACCACTGTACTTGTAATGATCTTATGAAGCTAACACCTTGATAGAGCTGGTTCAAACCTTTCATGGAAAACTACAGACTTGCAACAAACCTTCTTTAAACAATTACTTGCACTACTGTCTTTTATATTTTATGACTACTAGGCTAGGTATGAGTGTGTCATGATCGGGTCAGCAGGATTAGGTTAGGTGTGAGTGTAGGAATCAGTTTAATATAAAATGACAGAACAGGGTGTAGTGATTAACTCAGCCACCATATTTACCACATTATTATACAGTAAGTAGAATATTAGTACTGTAGTAGTAGTCGTCACGTGCTAGGCTTGATGTTACGACTAGCCTAGCCATGGTAATCAAAGCAACGCGGTTACGGTAATCTGGTTAAACATTCAAGGTTATAATATCTGACTGTCTGAATGATGATACAGTACTTTTAATTAGGGAAGTGAATCAATACACAGCAATTACACTACAAAGAATATCCTCCCTCGCTCGTTCCCTCTACGTCCCTCACTCTTGCTAAACCTGTATCATCTGGAAATGGATACACTTAACATTCCTTAATCTGTAGTAGTTTTATTCAAAGCTATGTATTATGAACGAGGTAACACAAGGATGAGGTTTAATAAGCGTGAATCTTTCGTACAAATTTATGAAAAATAATTGTAAGGATTGGAGAGGAATTTCCTGTCCAAGCATTTTTTCCTAGAATGTTTAACCAGAAATTTAATGCTTTATATCTGCTTGTTCATACGGTTGCAACATATATAATTTGTATCCTTTTTACTGTTCCACTTAAACTGTATGTGTATTATAGTTTTATTAATCTTTTGGTGTAAATATTTAGCTAAAAAGAATAGTCTTTCAACCTTTAGTGTGGATGCATGTGGTAGCAAAGTGCGCCAACTCAACAACAATGGTTTCGGTCTGCTTGAATCTCCAGCCAATGTTCTACTTTCCCTCAGTTTTCTGGAGTATATTGCAGTTATTATACTGTGCATTCTTATTCAAGATGAGCGGAAAGAGGCCATCAAGTGGAAGTGCTAGCAGTGGTGATAAAAGATTCCATAAAGGAATTGCATTGGACATAAAACTTAATGTTTCAAGGAGGTAACTCCCAGTAACTCTGATCCCACAAGTTCACCTCGCCACCTGCAGCACTCAACATCGTTTCTGATAAGTAAAATTCGAGTGCTTTGTTCATTTATTATCATGTTACATCATGAATGATTCATTGCATATGGTTAAAACCCTCTGATTTCATTCATAGATGTGCTTGTTTCACTTTTTTGGGCCTAAAAATTTGTCCTTAGGAACGCAACTCAACTTTTATAATGGAAGTAGAAGTATATGGGAAAAATTGTTTCGCTCTACGGAATTTCGCGTTTCCGAAACCCGGGGATGCCTGTAGTAGGTTTGACGAACACATATGAATTATATTTTACACAATATAAGATTTTTTGATGCGGTTCCAGGCACTGTAAACTGCAGTTTTTTTTATGAGTTCATTTCATCTCATAAAACACTCAAGATTGGTATCTACAGCAGGTTTGTAGTTAAATAAATGTACTCCCTATGGCATTTCATCGAGTCGTGCTGATACTAGGTTGTTTGTGTTTGTGAGCAAAATAAGTCCCAAATACTTGCTAGTCCATTCAGGGCAGTGTGGATACAGGCCACGTGAAGACGAAGCCACAGGTACAAAAGCAGACCTCGCCGTGCGTCATAGAAACAATAGCCGTAGAGAACTTGGGTTGTTGAAACTATATGCGGTGTTGATAGGTTTACTCGTGTTTGTGTCCACTGTGATAGACATTATCCACACACGCTGCAACTCTATTTTGTCAGTGTATGTTTTAAGAAATTTTCCTGTGGGATTTTGGCTAGTAAAAAAGGGGTTTGCAGCATGATGTTCGACAAGGTGTATATCATGCCATACCAAAGACGTTCTGTGATATCCTGTAACTAAACTATAAAAATATATCTAGTGCATCTAGTTACAAAAAATAAAATTATAACTAATAAAGATTGAATATGTGAAGAAAAAAAGCGGGCACACCAATTACCTATTCTATGAATTAAATTGAATTGCTTGAAAGAATCCACACTAAGACGTACAGTACTTGTAGACATCAGTGCTTTCTAATTATGCCTTCATGGAGTGCTTGGCGTTGTTGGCCAGGACTGTCAATAAAGTGCATTTGTCGCTAAAAGTAACTCCCGGTCGCCCTTTTGGTTCATGGCTCCATTCTTTGATAGCATTGGGGTCAGAAATTATTTAGCCTTCAATTTTCAATTTGATGTATGTATGTATATTATGTATGCTGTATGTATATTATGCATGTGTTCTGGGTATCAAGTTCTATCTACAGGAGCGAACACAAACACCTGTAGAGTTTTCGTAGGTTCTATTTTCTGGATAAACAGAGATACACACGGAAGGTGGCGCTCCTCACTCTGTATGGGGGGGTCAACTAGCCTCTCTGGCGACATGTGGTAAGTGATACATTAGCAGCTTCCATTTGTCGCCAGGCACATTAATTAAGCATGTGGGGCATGGTAAATACATTGCCACACGCTGCTAGCTAGGCTGAATAAATAGTGTATATAAATGGAGCACATAATTAATATACATACATAATATACATACAGCATACATAATATACATACAATGTATCGTGTCCTTGTACCTGCATAATAGGTTGAAAAAATTCAACGGGTATCTGGTGGATCGTTTATTTGTTTACTCTACGCACTGTTGTGTTTTTCTCACACGTCTGAAATCTGCGGCGCAACATGTTACTAAACATGGAAATTCCTATGAAAACAGACCTGCAAGGGGCCACGCATTCAAGACTGTAATTTTGTATGTAACCAACAACATATGTTGTGTCAAGCTATGGCGACGTGTAATCAGTGTAGGACACGTCTGAGCGTCTCCGTCATATACCTCCACCTAGAAAGTTGAACCTACTGCGTTGTATATTATGCTGTGTGACACCCTAGCGCCTAGCTTATATAGTTTTAAACTAGGTTGGGGTGTCAGATGGTTCACCTAACCAGACCTAAGACATGCAGTAGTTACTTTTGGAT